AAGGGAGACTTTATATCTCCTCACGACTTATGTTTCTTCCAAGGAGAGTTGATGTGAGGTTACGGATACAGTAGAAGGGAGATTTTATATCTCTCACGACTTATGTTTCTTCCTAGGAGAGTTGATGTGAGGTGACAGATACAGTAGAAGGAGATTTTATATCTCACGACTTATGTTTCTTCCAAGGAGAGTTGATGTGAGGTTATGGAAACAGTAGAAGGGAGATTTTATATCTCTCACCTAACTTATGTTTCTTCCTAGGAGAGTTGATGTGAGGTTACAGATACAGTAGAAGGGAGATTTTATATCTCTCACGACTTATGTTTCTTCCAAGGAGAGTTGATGTGAGGTTACTGGATACAGTAGAAGGGAGATTTTATATCTCTCACCTACTTTATGTTTCTTCCAAGGAGAGTTGATGTGAGGTTACGGATACAGTAGAAGGGAGATTTTATATCTCTCACGACTTATGTTTCTTCCAAGGAGAGTTGATGTGAGGTTACGGATACAGTAGAAGGGAGATTTTATATCTCTCATGACTCATGTTTCTTCCTAGGAGAGTTGATGTGAGGTTACGGATACAGTAGAAGGGAGATTTTATATCTCTCACAACCTATGTTTCTTCCTAGGAGAGTTGATGTGAGGTTATGGAAACAGTAGAAGGGAGATTTTATATCTCTCACGACTTATGTTTCTTCCTAGGAGAGTTGATGCGAGGTTATGGAAACAGTAGAAGGGAGATTTTATATCTCTCACGACTTATGTTTCTTCCAAGGAGAGTTGATGTGAGGTTACGGATACAGTAGAAGGGAGATTTTATATCTCTCACGACTTATGTTTCTTCCAAGGAGAGTTGATGTGAGGTTATGGATACAGTAGAAGGGAGATTTTATATCTCTCACGACTTATGTTTCTTCCTAGGTGAGTTGATGCGAGGTTACGGATACAGTAGAAGGGAGATTTTATATCCCTCACAACCTATGTTTCTTCCTAGGAGAGTTGATGCGAGGTTACGGATACAGTAGAAGGGAGATTTTATATCTCTCACGACTTATGTTTCTTCCAAGGAGAGTTGATGTGAGGTTACAGATACAGTAGAAGGGAGATTTTATATCTCTCACGACTTATGTTTCTTCCAAGGAGAGTTGATGTGAGGTTACGGATACAGTAGAAGGGAGATTTTATATCTCTCACAACCTATGTTTCTTCCAAGGAGAGTTGATGTGAGGTTACAGATACAGTAGAAGGGAGATTTTATATCTCTCACAACCTATGTTTCTTCCTAGGAGAGTTGATGCAGGTTATTTATGGATACAGTAGAAGGGAGACTTTATATCTCTCACGACTTATGTTTCTTCCAAGGAGAGTTGATGTGAGGTTACGGATACAGTAGAAGGGAGATTTTATATCTCTCACGACTTATGTTTCTTCCTAGGAGAGTTGATGCGAGGTTACGGATACAGTAGAAGGGAGATTTTATATCTCTCACAACCTATGTTTCTTCCTAGGAGAGTTGATGCGAGGTTACGGATACAGTAGAAGGGAGATTTTATATCTCTCACGACTTATGTTTCTTCCAAGGAGAGTTGATGTGAGGTTACGGATACAGTAGAAGGGAGATTTTATATCTCTCACGACTTATGTTTCTTCCAAGGAGAGTTGATGTGAGGTTACGGATACAGTAGAAGGGAGATTTTATATCTCTCATGACTCATGTTTCTTCCAAGGAGAGTTGATGTGAGGTTACGGATACAGTAGAAGGGAGATTTTATATCTCTCACAACCTATGTTTCTTCCTAGGAGAGTTGATGTGAGGTTATGGAAACAGTAGAAGGGAGATTTTATATCTCTCACGACTTATGTTTCTTCCTAGGAGAGTTGATGCGAGGTTATGGAAACAGTAGAAGGGAGATTTTATATCTCTCACGACTTATGTTTCTTCCAAGGAGAGTTGATGTGAGGTTACGGATACAGTAGAAGGGAGATTTTATATCTCTCACGACTCATGTTTCTTCCAAGGAGAGTTGATGTGAGGTTATGGATACAGTAGAAGGGAGATTTTATATCTCTCACGACTTATGTTTCTTCCTAGGAGAGTTGATGTGAGGTTACGGATACAGTAGAAGGGAGACCATATCTTTCACGACTTATGTTTTTTACATGATTAACTGGTTGTCAGACATCAACATATTTTGTGTGTTCTTCATGGTAAACATTGTACGTATGCACTGGAAAACATCAAATTGTGTTCTGTGATTTACAAGTTTAGTCTTCCTGCTTGTTGACATCATACAATAAAACACTACTGGGAGAATGCACCACTTGGAGCTCATCATTTAACCACAATCCTACTCCATCCACTCACAGCAGGACTTATCTTTGTAAGCTAGTTTATTAATAAAGTTTATCCATAAAGTGTGTTCTATATTAGTTTATGAATTTTACTAAAAATGTCATTCAGATGCTGGGAAATCGTGGGTCCCTCTGATACTTACAACTTCAATTTACTTTAATCACAACAACCACAATCCAACTCCATCCACTCACTCCTCAAAACGAAAACTAGTTGGGAGAAAATGGATATGTATGCATAATTTATTTTGATAAAGGTGACATTTACGTGGATGATCACATGTCAACAAACTGTTTTTGCAGACTGTCTGTTTCACTCAGGATATCTTTCTCTAGCTTTAGGTGTTCACACTTTTGGGGCATCCAAGGTTCTTTAACCATGAGGATTTCTCCTCAAGTGTTTGAAACAAAAGAAGCCTAAATCCATAAGTAAATTTCTAAAAACACGAGGAGACTGGAGGACCGCTATAACCTGGGTCAACTGAAATAGAGACTATGAGACAGGGGAAGAGCTGACATCTGGCTTGACTGAAAGAGAAATGCTTGAAGTAGGAGAACCAATATCACCTTGCTCAACGGAATGATAAATACTACGCTTATGTTACTAAAGTACTGTCGGAAATAGAAAAAAAGGTTTTTAGGCTGTTACTCTGTATCCCTAAAACTTACACAATTGCAAATAGCATATGTCGAAATACCCCACATCGGCCTAACTGGGCGGTCAGTGGGATGCGTAATAGGATATCCAGAAAAGCATGTTTACTCGTAAAATCGGGCAAAACTTGGAAAAAATACGAACAGCTGCTGAAAACAATAGATCAGACTATAGATAGCAATTAGGTCACTCAGCCAGGTATGACGATGGAGGGTCAACTCACTTGCCATGAAATGCACGCGCTGCCCGCAGACACAAGGGATCATCTCAAATATCTTTTATGCATTTTCATGTGTATTGAATAGTCTCTACTGATTATCTAACCTTAGCTAATATCTCTATCCCCAAGCCCGACCCCAACTACCGTCAGCAATACCCGTCTTGGTTTTGCTTTTAAGACGACCCCTCCTATCTGTTTCTTTTTATAGTGATATTGAGACTCCATGGTATCTATATCCTTAATAGTTTCAGTATTAAAGTTGTTATTGTTTACGTCTGCTATCGTTAATGATGAAGTTAAGCCAAATTTCAAAATGGAAATTCAAAAAGTGTCATTTGTTATACAATATCATCGCACACTAATTTGCATAAAGCCATGGTCTGCTCCAAATAAGTCTCTTCGGACTTTGAAAAAAACCCGCAATGCTCATTTCTGCACTAATTTCCCCTCAGTAAAATCCTTTTTTAACGTTTCCTATCTCCCTACCACTGAAACTGTAGTTAGGCCGAACTTAGTTTTACAGATATTTCCCACTTTCACATATTAACTAACTAAATTGTACCGTATATTACCGTCTATAAGACGAACCCCCAAACTTGACCCTTAAAATCAGTGTCAAAATGTTATGTTTCGTGCATAAGTCGATCCCCCGCGATGGGGTCCTAATCGCGGCAAACAAAGACCACAGACAACTGGCAGTTACCAATAATTATAACTTTGGTCCACATTATTCAAAGAATTCACAATTATATATATTATCTACTCACGGATCGAAACGAAGTGTAGTTGACAGAAAATGCATAATATATTTGTTTCTCTAAATATCACATTTATTGTAGCAACAAACTGGCTTGCTTATTTTACCCCATTCAACAATCACGAACTGATTACCGCCTCGTTTTCTATTGACTGCTAGTTTACAGTAACATCGGTAAAAATGTGTGAATTTAAATGGCTTCCCTATTTTACCCCATTCCATGTGCGTACAACTTCTGTTTACCACGTTCATGAGGGTCCGTATAACCTTAGTGTTGATTATATATATTTTACTTAAAACTGTAATTAAAATTACACAATGCTAGGTTAGATTTCTTTGAGTTAAATAATAGTACTCTGTATTATATTTTACCGACGACTGCGTCAGAATTCGTCCCGTTTTATTATTGTGCATGTTTGAACTTGTTTGCTGCTGATTGCTATTTCCGGCTCAAATACACACAGTAATCTTAATCTTAATTAATTTATAGAGCAAAAGCTGTAATTAAAATTACACAATGCTAGGATATATTTCTTTGGGTTAAATAATAGTATTCTGTATTATATTTTACTGATGACTGCGTCAGAATTCGTCTCGTTATATTATTGTGCATGTTTGAGCTTGATCACCGGGAAACGTGCACAGCTGATTGCTATTTCCGGCTCAGATACACAGGGTAATCTTAATGCCTGCAAATAATACAATGCCCAGCAAAAACAACTTAGAACTTAAATAATCTTGTCTAGTGATGTTTAATTGCAAATTTGACGTCTCTACTGACAAAGTCGTCTTCTGTTGTTTGTTCACGCGAAGTGATACGATGTTGTTTTCTTACCCCTGGACAAAAGTTTGACGAAAGCGTAACCCACGGATAAGACGACCCCCTTCTACAGACTGCTTTTTTTGGTCCTCAAAATTCAGCTTATAGACGGTAATATACGGTAGATATAAATGTGAAAAAAAAACAGGTTTTTTTTTTTTCCGACAGTACTTTAGCTCCTGGTGTGAAAACATACCCCTGTTCCTCCATGAGCTCATGCATCTCCATACACTTCAGTTCCACTTTTCTCTTGCGCTCATGTTCCAGGATGTCCTGGTTTGGCTGCTTCAGCAGCGACTGGTCCAGCTTCCGGATCTCTTCCTCAGACTTGTAGTCTACCCGGTCCTTGTGTTTGCGGACAAATGACAAGTTGCGCTGGACGAAGCCATTAGTGCCGCTACCCCGAGGGGTAGTCAGGCCAATACCATTATACATCTCTTGACCTCCTGCAGTATCCTGGAAAGGATAGTTGATCAATGAGTTTAGTTTAACGCTGCACTCGGCAATATTCCAGCTATATGATGGGGGTCTGTAAATAATCAAGTCTGGACCAGACAATCAAGTGATCAACAGCATGAGCATTGATCTAGGCAATTGGAATATGATGACATGTGTCAACCAAGTCAGCGAGCCTGACCACCAGATCCCAATAGTCGCCTCTTACAACAAGGATGGGTTACTGAAAATCAATTCTTACCCGGATCTTCACGGGTAGTTGATCAATGATAACCTAACAAGATAAACAAAATTCAGGCATTATCAACAGTCTGTATATCTGGCATGTACTGGACAATACTGTACTTGATATTGTGAAAAATGCAGTATATCAAGAACTCGAGCTTCAAATAGGACAGTCCAGGACGAAGCTATATTACATCACACTACATATGGTCGATTCCAACGAAAAGTGTACACAGCTAGGTACAAGGGGTCCAAAATAGAATTGCTTGCACCTTGTAATTCTTTTTACAAATGAACAGTAACTGTTAACTCTGGCCGTGACGTCACAATGCTATGACGACACAATACATGTGGTGGTCAATAGATACAGATGACATGGCTCATACAAAATTGTTGATTGAATCTGTATCTGTATCTATTGACCACCACATGTATTGCGTCGTCATAGCATTGTGACGTCACGGCCAGAGTTAACAGTTACTGTTCAGTTTACCTGATGATGGGGCCAGAACAAGCCCTGAAACGTTGTACTCGAGAATAAAAAGATGTAACCCAGAAAAAATCTCTATGTTCAGTTTGGAAATTGTTTATCTAAGTGCATAGGACATGTGAATAAAGATTGTTTACAACCAGTTTAAGGCTTCCTCTTTGTTTTGTCTCAGTTTATGTTGGAAAGTAGCAATGTCACTTTAACTGATGGAAATTTACATCTCATCAATATCATTTCTTCACATGGCTGAGCCATGATGTACTAATACATGTGATGTATTCAGTCCTGAAAAATATAATTCTTGAGTAACATTTGAACTATGCAAATGGATGATATCATGACGATATACCGCCAAGTGTAACATCAATAATCAATGTTGGGTATGAAATCAAGGTGTTGTGATGTGTTTACTCTCCACCAGAAGGATGGTGTATTGGCAGCATAGGGTGTATTGGACTTGTATTGTTGTTGATTGTAGATCACTATAGCAATATCTTATGCTGGGTGACCGGACAAAATCCACCCCAAAATTGCCACCCCGGACAAAATCCACCTCTTCTTAACAAAAAAATGGACAAAATCCACCCTTCTCAAATTGCTATTGTTAAAAGTTTTAGTGTGTCCTGATCTTTGATCAAGTTGTTTTGCTCAAGCATTGCAAGCATTGTTTTGATAGCATTTTCGACCACTGCCACGCCCCAGACCCCAGCGCTACTGTGGCCCTCAAGTTGGGGTCAGAGATGAAGCAGAAGGCCAGTACATCCCGAGAGACACCAAACCGGGTTCTTCCCCTAAGAAAAGAACCAGAACAACCACCAAACGTCTCCAAGACCGTGTGCAAGACCTACGCAGCGAAGGAAAAGACACTCGAGGACTTTCTCCACGGCGTCAGCCGTTGTTTGCGTTGTTGAAATTTGGCAAGATGTTGAGTCATAGATATGTCTGAATGTGTGAAAATATATATATGCTGTTGTCATATTTATATATGTATTTATGCATGAATGATTAATAAATTTGAAATGTGAAAATGTGCAATTGTCATATTTATATGTGCAAAAATGAGCTTACATATGTATTTTGTTTTTTTTTGTTATCGATTATGAATGACTGATATGAATAAAATTCATTTCTGTGACTAAACATGTCATTATGGTTTTTTTCTTAGGGTGGAATTTATTAGGGGGGGGATTTTGTCCGGGTGGATTTTGTCCTAGGTTGCAATTTTGGGGTGAATTTTGTCCGGGTGGATTTTGTCCAGGTGGATTTTGTCCTGGATTCCTTATGCTGACATTAACATTGTCTGATCTTTATTATATGACATGTGTAGTAAACCAAGCTCAATCCCAGTGATTGTACGTTTCCTCGTGTATATATATTGGCTTAAACTGCAGAAATTACAGTCAACATCAAGCTAAATATGCAATTCATTTTCATAGTTTCAGAAAACATGAGAGTTGGATTATGAAGATTTGGTGAAGTGGCCATATATTTTGTATATGTGCGCATCAATAACGCTGTAAAACAATGTGTTCGGTATGTTAGCGTTATATGCAGTCACTGACACCCTTCAATCTCGTCTCTGCAGCAAACGTATCTTTGTTCGATTCTCGTGTTTATGTATTGCCACTCAAAATCAGATTACAAGAAGAAAGCAAGTGCCTGGCCCTCAGTGCAAATTCAATTCCAATAAACATAAACATTTACCTCTGTCTTGCTTCAGTATTAAGAGCTAGAATTCATATTTAGTAGAGGTATTGCACTTTCTAAAGTCTCATTTCGGCAAAATGGTGATACATGTGAACTGCGCATGAATAAATTTGTCAGCGCCATCTACTTCCGAAGAGAGAGCACTCTAATTTCTTCTCGTCATAAGCAGGCTCCGTCACCAGTCGCTGCGTCCTGTTATTGTGGTTCAAACCTGAGGGACGCAACAAGGGGAACATATATTTCACAATTCTTTAAGTTTTTAACATCTAAAAAATCAGTGCATTTCGACATGGAATCTTCCGAAAGAATTGTAAGCGCAATAAAATAACACTGAATATTTGTGAATCTGAGATGGTAATTGATTAATATACTTTGTGTCATTACTTGTATGTGTTACAGTGAATATGTAAAACCAGGGATTATGTATAATGTCTGATTCACTCAGTGGGATGAGGATTGTCAATAATTGTGAACCGAACCATATATACATCAAACATGAATAAATTTCATTATGTTGAATAAAGATACCATTGTAGCAAGGAAACTTCTCTATACTGCTTAATACAAAAGTCTAATTCCACATGTTTTTTGGATGAAACACAACTCAAATTACACAAGAAGTGATTTCAGGGAATATGTCTAACATTCTAGTATATTTTTCAGTGATTATGTATAATCAATCAGGGATTATACATAATCACTGGTTTTACATATTCACTGTAACATATATACATCCACAGGTATTATTATGAACGATCAAAATCGGATATGTACTGCAACATTCTTTTTTTGCGGAATATTCATCACTACCTTATGGACGCAGGCTGCGAATGCTGACTTGTATACAAACAGGGTTTGCCACTCATTTGTACACTGGGTATTTATATCTTGATATACAATAGTTTTATGATTATTATTTGCAATGTTATGTACAGCTGCTTTATGAATGTAAAATAAACCGGAGAACTGTACATTATGCAAACCCAATTTCCCTTGGGATAATAAAGAAATGATCTTGACTTGACTTGACTTGACTTTATGTATCACTAAAATGGTCTGTCTGGTAGGAAGGGCCTCGATCCGGCCTGAGACCTAATGATGGTTATAGCCCGGGAAAGCCACATTTGAGAAAAACAGTGTTGAATGGTTAAGTGGTCGTGTGAATGTGTGACCCGTGAACCTAGAATGAACCTTCAGTAACCAATGCTTGTCGTACGAGGCGACTAACGGGATCGGGTGGTCAGGCTCGCTGGCTTGGTTGACACATGTCATTGGTTCCCAATTGCGCAGATCGATGTTCATGCTGTTGATCACTGGATTGTCTGGTCCAGACTCGATTATTACAGACTGCCGCCATATATAGCTGGAATATTGCTGAGTGCGGCGTAAAACTAAACTCACTCACTCATTCGTGCGAATGTGGCTCTCCCAGCAGTACGCTATTAGCTAATCCATGCTACAGTAAATAATGTGAAACATTCATTATGTAAAATCTAGAAATCCAGTTGAATTGTTCATGGAGAAAAGTCCAGATCACGCAAACTAGCTGCCTCACGTAGGTACTCAAACACCTTTCACGAATTTATTTATGATTATACAACCAATTATTTCTTTGAAGCGTGTTAACTTATGTGAGGGTCAATTCAATGTTTTATCTTTTCTGATAACTGTTTTAGATAAGAGCTATTGTTGCCTCAATTATTATGCTTACAGTCATACTAAAAACTCAAAAATGTTTTAGAAGAACGACAATTATTGCACAAATATACTTATAAACAGCCACATATGTGACGTCTAACTCTTTCCATTTCATAGCTGTTTTTAAGCTGAATTTATGACTAGATTTTCCCAAATCAGTATTTTTGCCACCGTTGCCGTAATGATATTTTGATTTAAAGTTGAAACGTCACAATAAATGTGATGGAAAATTCTTATCCAAACTTGTCTGCTGATGCAATACACCAATCATACAAACCAAAGTAGTTTACATGAAGACATAGAAAAAAAAATACAACTAAAACATTTTCAAGAGCAAAAGCTGAAATTGACCTTCTCCATAGAAGTACCCGTTGGCATGTATCATTTTATCTCAGAACATATGTTATGATATGTTAACTAAAAACTTCAACGAGAATAAAGAAGCCGCTTATCATATGTTAACTAAACAAAAAAAGGACAAGTCACTCAAACAAGCTTAATCCATTGTGATCAATGGGGGACGCTTATTTGAAAAAACGGTATTGATTCCCTTACTCATTGTGGCTTTCGCGGCGATTTGCGGCACCGAGGTTTGTACTTGAAATGTGGCTTTAGCGGCAATTGGTATTTTTCAGATGTGGCATTCCCGGGCGGACACCCCTAATGATCGCAGCTGTACACAATAAGAAAAACGTGGCGGAGTGTGTGTTGGGGAGAGAGAGAGAGAAAAGATGGGGACGTGTAGGGGGATGGGGTGTGTGTAGGGGGATGGGAGTGTCGTTGTTGGCAGAGGAACTTCAGGCATGTTCGCCTGGTACTTTACAGAAATGCACCCTAATCAAAGTCAAAATGCAGAAAATTGTCACAGTTACTGGAATGCAAATATTTTGTGTGACACAGTGTGGAGCCAACAAGGGTTTTCACAGAAGATTGTTTGCTAACTTTAGACGGAACAAGTCTTTGTGGTCCTAAATGAAGTAAAAAGGCCAATTATTGAAAACTTGACATCAAATCTCCTTAAGGCCGATGTCAAGAAACTTTTGATCACATTCTTGGTTAAGAAAGAAATTTAGGATAATGATGATTTTACCCCGAGGAGAAGAGAGGGTTAGGGGTACACTACTTTTGGCCTTGATTGAGGTGAAGACAGGGTTAGGGGTACACTACTTTTGGCCTTGACTGAGGTGAAGAGAGGGTTACGGGTACATTACTTTTGGGCTTGATTTAGGAGAAGACAGGGTTAGGGGTACACTACTTTTGGCCTTGATTCAGGTGAAGAGAGGGTTAGGGGTACACTACTTTTGGCCTTGATTGAGTTGAAGACGGCTAGGGGTGCACTGGTTTTGGCCTTGATTGAGGAGAAGACTGGGTTAGTGGTGCACTACTTTTGGCCTTGATTGAGGTGAATACTGGGTTAGGGGTACACTACTTTTGGCCTTGATTTAGGTGAAGAGAGGGTTAGGGGTACACTACTTTTGGCCTTGATTTAGGTGAAGACTGGGTTAGGGGTACACTACTTTTGGCCGTGATTGAGGTGAAGAGAGGGTTAGGGGTACACTACTTTTGGCCTTGATTGAGGTGAAGACAGGGTTAGGGGTACACTACTTTTGGCCTTGATTTAGGAAAAGACAGGGTTAGGGGTACACTACTTTTGGGCTTGATTTAGGAGAAGATAGGGTTAGGGGTACACTACTTTTTGAGCCTTGATTGGGGTACACTACTTTTGGCCTTGATTCAGGTGAAGAGAGGGTTAGGGGTACACTACTTTTGGCCTTGATTCAGGTGAAGAGAGGGTTAGGGGTACACTACCTTTGGCCTTGATTGAGTTGAAGACGGTTAGGGGTGCACTGGTTTTGGCCTTGATTGAGGAGAAGACAGGGTTAGGGGTACACTACTTTCGGCCTTGATTGAGGTGAAGACAGGGTTAGTGGTACACTACTTTTGGCCTTAATTGAGGAGAAGACAGGGTTAGGGGTACACTACTTTGGGCCTTGATTGAGGTGAAGACAGGGTTAGGGGTACAGTACTTTTGGCCTTGACTGAGGTGAAGACAGGATTAGGGATACTCTACCTTTGACCTTGATTGAGGAAAAGATAGGGTTAGGGTTACACTACTTTCGGCCTTGATTTAGTAAAAGAGAGGGTTAGGGGTACACTACTTTTGGCCTTAATTGAGGTGGAGACAGGGTTAGGGGTACACTACTTTTGGCCTTGATAGAGGAGAAGACAGGGTTAGGGGTACACTACTTTTGGCCTTGATTTAGGTGAAGAGAGGGTTAGGGGTACAGTACTTTTGGCCTTGATTGAGGTGAAGACAGGGTTAGTGGTACACTACTTTTGGCCTTGATTTAGGTGAAGACAGGGTTAGGGGTACACTACGTTTGGCCTTGATTGAGGTGAAGAGAGGGTTAGGGGTACACTACTTTTGGCCTTGATTGAGGTGAAGACAGGGTTAAGGGTACACTACTTTTGGCCTTGATTGAGGTAAGGAGAGGGTTAGGGGTACACTACTTTTGGGCTTGATTGAGGTGAAGACAGGGTTAGGGGTACACTACTTTTGGACTTGATCGAGGTGAGGAGAGGGTTAGGGGTACACTACTTTTGGGCTTGATTGAGGTGAAGACAGGGTTAGGGGTACACTACTTTTGGACTTGATTGAGGTGAAGACAGGGTTAGGGGTACACTACTTTTGGCCTTGATTCAGGTGAAGACAGGGTTAGGGGTACACTACTTTTGGCCTTGATTGAGGTGAAGACAGGGTTAGGGGTACACTACTTTTGGGCTTGATTGTGGTGAAGACAGGGTTAGGGGTACACTACTTTTGGCCTTGTTTGAGCCGAAAACAGGGTTAGTGGTACACTACTTTTGGCCTTGATTGAGGAAAATACCGGCTTAGGGGTACACTACTTTTGGCCTTGATTGAGGTGAAGACAGGGTTAGGGGTACACTACTTTTGGCCTTGATTGAGGTGAGGAGAGGGTTAGGGGTACACTACTTTTGGGCTTGATTGAGGTGAAGACAGGGTTAGGGGTACACTACTTTTGGGCTTGATTGTGGTGAAGACAGGGTTAGGGGTACACTACTTTGGCCTTGATTGAGGTGAAGACAGGGTTAGTGGTACACTACTTTTGGCCTTGATTGAGGAAAATACCGGCTTAGGGGTACACTACTTTTGGCCTTGATTGAGGTGAAGACAGGGTTAGGGGTACACTACTTTTGGCCTTGATTGAGGTGAGGAGAGGGTTAGGGGTACACTACTTTTGGGCTTGATTGAGGTGAAGACAGGGTTAGGGGTACACTACTTTCGGCCTTGATTGAGGTGAAGACTGGGTTAGTGGTACACTACTTTTGGCCTTGATTGAGGAGAAGACAGGGTTAGGGGTACACTACTTTGGCCTTGATTGAGGTGAAGACAAGGTTA